AAAAAAAAAAAAAAATGGAGCGATCCACTACTGGGGTGACTTTGACCCTGGTAGTGGATTTTTGTAATTTGGAAAATTACAAAAATTTGGCAACAATCGTCTGTTTATTTTATTTTATTTATGTATTTATTTTGGGGGGTTCAGGTAAAAAACAAAACAAAAAAAAACTCCCAAATGACCTTTCTATTGGGCGGCGACAACATGCTTGTAATTCGCATGATGTTTACAATTCGGCAAAATTACCACAATTTTTGGACTTTTTGGATTTAAGATTCTTAAGGTGTGGAGCAAAGTCATTTCTATTTGGTGCTGACGATATGCTGCCGCCGTTTCCCCATCTATTCCCCTTTGTGAGGGTGAAAAGTTCACAGTTTTGAGAATTCTCCGAATTTGGCAATGCTAGGCAGGCTTTTTTTTTCGGATATAAAAACACAAGTTCACAAAATGTTTAGATGTGGGATTTGTATTAGGCGGTGACCGTATTCTCCTGGTAATAACGGAAAGTAGAACATTTTAAAATCTTTACAGAATTTGGTACACCTCTGTGAGTTTTGCAGAGATTAGTAATTGCAATGTTCACTTTTTTTTTTTTAGGCCTGGAATTTGGGAGGAAAAAAAAAAGTTTTTCATTAGGATGAGATTTCCTCATGAGACATTTTCTCATTCAACCGAGAAACATATTGCAAGGGTGAAATTGTTTCATGTCGTCGTCTCACTCTCACCATTGTGAAATCCTGCGTGAGTCCAAAGGCGATCGCTCCCGAGGAATTTCCGCTAAGACCGACCAACAGGTTGAAGCCATTGGGAGACATGGGCGTGTCCGCGTTCAAGGACACAAACAGACAGCTGGTGTTGTTGCCCGCAGGATCGCAGTTGTTTGGCATCTCCAGACACAGGTTGGTGCTACTGCAGCCCTCTCGGGTGACGTTTGCCTGTAGAAGACAACGCACGGCTTTGCCTTGAATTGTTGCTTGCAAGCAAGTGGGAAAGTCAATTAATCAATTCACTTATCACCTATTTGTGGATCAATATTTTTTCAGATTATTTGGGTGGGTGGATTCTTGGGGGGGGGCGAGGTTGTTCTATTTCTGTATACTGGATGTTGTTTTTTCGGGGGGGAGGTGAGTTTTTTTGTTTTTTTATTTTGGCGGGGTTAAAAAAAAAGGTTCGATTTTACACATATCTGATTGGCTGGATCGGATCTGCAGATATTTTGTATTTTATGCAAAATCAGTGATCGGGTGAAATGTTAATGATATGACAATTGATCATTGATGACAATGAGCGGGTCCACAAAATAAAACATGACAGCCAATTTAATAATCCAAGATTTCTCAAGTTGGGTTTTTTTTAAAAAATTTTTCCCCAATATTTTAAAATAATTTCTGGGGGGGGGGTGTATTGAATGATTACAAACGTTTTGGGGGAGAATTTTTTGGGGTTTCATTGTTTGGATTTTTTTTCCAAAGCATTTCAATAGGCATTACTGATTTTAGCTAACAGGCATGTTTTTTGGAAACATTGAAAACCATTTCAAATGACAGTGAAAATTTTTTTTTTTGTAACATCCAAGACCATTTAAGTCCAGTAAAACGAATATGCATGTTTTTTTATATATCAAAGACAGTTATTCTCACAAAGGTTTGACTTTTTATCAACATTAAAGATCATTTCATTCTCAAATAAACCTCACATCAAAGAACGTCATGAATGAAGCCAACGTGTGTTAAACATAAGTTAGTCTTCAGTCAAGCCACGATGTGTTTCGGGTTGCAACCAGGATAATTCCGAGTCTTAATGAACCAGACCAACCTGTTTGGTAAGCTTTGAGGAAAATTTGTCTTTCACATAACTCACTTAAGGGTTGGTGGTTAAAAATGAAAGAAGAATGTCTTCAGTGATCGGAAATACCCTTTTTTTTTTGTAAACATAAAAAAATAAATAAAAAATAAGAGTCAAGAAGAAGGAAGCAAACCCTGGTGGAGTTGTCGAAAGTCAAATGTTCTGTTCCCCGCACGGCAGCAAGAAAAGCCATCAAGGCCCCGACCAGGAGGAGTTCTCGATGCATTCTAAACTGACAGATGGTAAAAAAAATAAAAATAAATCTCCAAGTAAATAACAAATGAATAATGCTCATTTCATTCATTTATGAGTCACTTTAAAATTTGCATTTGCTGAACTTATTGCCATTTTTCAGACAAAAGGAAAATTCATCAAATTTTTTACTGGCCCATATTTTCCCCTTAATGATGATGTAAAATTCCCAATTAATAAAATAATGAATCAATTACAGATTTTTTTTACATCTCTATGTATTATTCTATGTATTTCTGTTTTTTTTCTGAGGTTTTTATTGGGTGGGGACAAATATCAAATTCACATTAAAAAAAAAAAATCCCTGAACATAATCATGTTGTTACATTCCCTTTTTTCTTCCCAAAATTTTGCCCACCTTAGGCAAACTCTTTTTGTAGTGTAGATAAAAGTACATAAGTTATACAATTTTAAGTTACTTCGTTTTGTACGATTGCAGTCTAAATATATTTCCAGCACTTCAGTATTTGTTTAAAAAAAAAAAACAAAAGTAAATAATACAATGTGGTCTAAATATGAATTTGGAGAGGCTTACCTGAGCCTTGTTCAAATTCTAAATGAAGTCGTCTTAAATGCGTCTTTTTTCCTTTTCCTTCTAGTGGGCGAATGAGTGTGCGAAGCAAGTGCACTCCTTAAATATTCGCACACGCTGCTGATGATATTGCACTAAGGCGTGGCAGCTGAAAGAAACACACCTGCCTGCATGGTGCTTTTCATTTCCTTCACACAGAAATGACGCAAACGTTTTTTTTTCTTCCTCGTGCAGTCATGCTTACTTTTGGCGGAGTTCATGTGTGGATGCAGCAATGTCAAGAAAAGGGATACTAATTCAACAAAAAGAAAAAACACTCACAAATCGACTCCATATTGGAGGATAAGCGGGTATAAAGAGGTTTAATGATATGGGTGTTCTGTCCCCTGAGCCGTATTTTATAATTAATGATAATTACCGCGGCCCGGTGGTCCAGTGGTTAGCCCGTCGACCTCACAATGCAGAGGTACCGGGTTCAATTCCAGCTCCAGCCTCCCTGTGTGGAGTTTGCATGTTCTCCCCGGGCCTGTGTGGGTTTTCTCCGGGTACTCCGGTTCCCTCCCACATTCCAAAAACATGCATGGCAGGATGATTGAACACTCTTAATTGTCCCTAGGTGTGAGTGTGAGCGTGGATGGTTGTTCGTCTCTGTGTGTGCCCTGCGATTGGCTGGCAACCGGTTCAGGGTGTCCCCGAAGACAGTTGGGATAGGCTCCAGTACCCACCGCGAACCTTGTGAGGATAAGGGGATCGGAAAATGGATGGATGGATGATAATTACAATCGTTCCATCCATCTTTTCCCCAACACTGTGACTGTTATTGTTACATAATTATCTGTTGTAAAACTAATCCTTCAATTCTGTTAAACTAGGTCAAGTGTCAGGAATACACGGAGACATCTGGGTGAAACTGACAACATTTCAACTCCATCCTTAAGCCTAAATCAAACCTTCAAACTAATCCTCAATGCAATTTTATTGACAGAACGCTTTATAAACAATACAAAACATGTACGGCAACCCCGCCTCCAATGTGGCGGATACATCCCAGACTACCCCTGCATTAGGTGAAATCCACATGATAGAAATATTCTATTTATTTCATTCTCCTTTCGCATGTCCGTATAGTATTACGGAACTTTTTTAAAGGTCTATTAAGCAGACTTTTAAAACAATACAAGCGCATTTAAAAAACATTCCATATACAGATTGAGATCACGAGCAACGGATTAGATACAAGATACTTCAATACTCATGCCCAAAGATCCACGTTACGAAATGAATCGACAGTCGTCGCTTTTTGTAGGTGACAAAATCAGGATTGAAGAGGATTTAACATTCAATCATGTTCAAGAAAAACTTGGCTGAGCTGGAAATAGCGATATTAAGTTGAATTACACCCAAAATAAACGGCAGCCGAACGAAATACTTTTAAGTGTCCCCTCCCAAAAATATCTGCGAAACAGCGGGACCGTGAACCCAAAACCCTCAATGGAGATTAGTTTACTGTACATAAATACAAAAAATTTGAAAATAGCCAGACTTGTCTGATATGTTCCATAGTTTAACACCAACGCAAAATCTTTTTTTCATCAATGTTCGGTATCTTAAATTGAGGCAACCCTGAGTGACGTTGTGATTATGATTCCATACCGAGGTGTGGCTTGCTTTTAGCAGCTAAGCTACGAGACTGTCACGAGTTCATTGACTTTTTTTTTTACATTGTGCCGACGTTGAGGGTAATTTATGCCATCGAGGCGGCTGATGTTGCCAAATGACAAATACCAGCTGTCACTCAGGACATAGCATGCTAAAAGCTTGCTCGGAGGGTGGGGAGATTCACGCACAAAAAAAAAATAACAATAATAAATCAACAATGCCAACTCTTGTGTGACCAAGCAATCTTGCATTCCTCTGACGTTAACCGAAAAGGAAGTGGATGAGTAAAAATATCGGCTGCGTGATAAAAAAAAAAAGAAAAAAAAAAGAAAAGCAAAACAAAAAGATTGTTATCGTCATGTTTTCCGAAAACGGAAAAAAATGACTGCATCATCTGTACAAGTGGAGTCATTTGAGTCACTGGGGTCAGTAATTCAATGTTAGGTCACCGAGAAAAAAAAAGATCAACGGACCAGGGGCACCCAAGTCCGGTGACTCCCAACTCCAATACACCCCGATTCAAATAAATCAGGATTCTTATCGGCCTTCTCAGAGCTTGCCGATGAGCTGATCATTTGAATCGGGTGTGTGTTGGAGGAGGGCGACATCTAAAACAAGCTGGAAAGGGGCCCTCGAGACTGGGGTTGAACACTCCTGCCTCAGACTAATAGCCTGCCAATCATAGAACTGGTTTAAACATACGTAAGCATCCACACTCGCATATACACCTCAAACAATTTGCCTTCTGCCAAACATGCACTTTGTCATCACCAGACAATTATTTATTTATTTTTTTTGGTCTTCAATGAACCTAAACGTACCCAAATTTGTCAGTGTTGAGATTCTACATTGTCATGAATCTCAAAGGACACTTAACGTGTGTTTTTGTCATCATCAAAGACACACAACCATTGAAAGCAGGGACAGGCAACTCCGGTCCTCGAGGGCTGCCCTACTGCCTGTTTTAGTTGTCCCCCTCTTCCAACACATCTTTCACGAGTAACAAACTTTAAATTAAATTGACATCAAAGAGATATCAAAGAGAATTTTCCATTTCCAACGAACCCAGTGTACATGTTTTTGTAAACGTCCGAGACCATTTTTAGTCATTGTTGAACCCAATAAGTTTTTGTAAACGCACAAGACAATGAAGTTGATTTAATGGACCACAGATACTTTTCCGTTCACATCAAAGACAGTTCAATTTTCATTCAACCTATATGTTAAATATCAAAGATGTGTTTGAGACTTCAGTGAACCTAGCGTGTTTCGCGTGTAAACGTCAAAAAACAAATTAGTGCTCAGTTAACCTACATTCTAAAAAAGACAATTCAGAAGATTTAATGTACACATTGGTGTAAGCGTCAAAGACCATTTACACATTTTAATTGATCTATCATCTGTATGCACCACCTGGATTATTCAACGTTAAAAATAAACACATAGCATTTCTGTAGACATTAAAGTTTTGAGTCTAATGTTTGCTTTTTAAGCATCAGAGACAATTTTGCGTCTTCAAGGTAGCTAACATGTTTTTTTTTTTTTTTTAAACATGAAATACTTTTCAGTCTTCAGGGAACCTAACATCTGTTTTTTGTAAACACCAACGGCAATTTTCTTGACAAACCAAAAGAATATCTGCCTTGGTGTCAAAATCCGAAACCACAAATTTGCACTACATTATGAAAGATGAACATGTTGGACTCCAGCGTTGAGTACAGCATGTGAAACTTTATACAGCACTTAGTTTTGGGCAACAAGAAAAACTTGATCTGAACGACAACAATGCATTGTTGTGCGGTACGTCTCGCTGTGCACGTCACCAGCGTGATGTGCGGAGAGATGAAGGAACATTTTTTGATGCTGAATGCAGTTTGAGCGAAATGATACATACCTGACAGATGACATTTCGGGAGTTGACTCATTCCAGGTTTTTGGTGACATCTTATATGACGAAATGCATGTTTAAAATATAATTATGCGCAACAACATGCAACACTCACTAAAAGGAAATGTGCACCCATTTTGTTTCATTGAAAAAAAAAAGTCATTTCAGGGCAGACAGTTAGTTTACAGGAAAATGAAAAAAATTGAAATGAATACTGCAGCATACTCTCTGTCTCTCTCTCTCTCTCTCTCTCTCTCTCTCTGTCTTTTCGCTTCTCCATTTTTCCTCTTTTA